GTTTTGGTATCTGCAAGACGCCAGCACAGCCACCTTCATTGTGCTGCTGTGATTATGGTGGGTCACACCGTCAGCCAGATGTTTGGACTGGATTTGGCATTGTTGTCCACCTATCGAGTCCTTCCCAAGGACCTGGGATGGGCAGGACGCTGCAGATTGAAGCTGAACGCTTACGGAAAAAGAAATCTGTTGTTATACCACTCATGATGGGAGGCCTTGGAGCAATACCTAAAGGACTCCCTCGATATTTGGAAATTGTGAATTTATCAGACCTCAACACCCTAATGCAGTGTTTCTCAACCTCGTCGACTTTAAGATGCGTGGACTTCAACTCCCAGAATTCCCCCAGCCAGCAGGGAGTTGAAGTCCATGCATCTTAAAGTCGACGAGGTTGAGAAACACTGCCCTAACGTTACAAAAAATAATACCCTGCTTGGAACTGCCTATAACCCCAGATGCTATGTTAAGGTCCTTGGTTAGGACTTGAATTATTAAGTTTTCACCAGTCTTTGACTGTGAATCTAATTGTAAATCACCCATGTAATCATCATCATAATAACAGTCCATTGCAAACAGCAGCGTTACTTGGAAGAGCTTACATCCTGCGGCGATACCTCTAACACCATCGAACAACATCTGCCCATCCCAGGTCCTTGGGAAGGACTCGATAGGTGGACAACAATGCCAAATCCAGTCCAAACATCTGGCTGACGGTGTGACCCACCATAATCACAGCAGCACAATGAAGGTGGCTGTGCTGTTTTCCTTAGCCTTTTCCCCAAGAAATGGAGAAATTTCTCCCGGGTGAAAGGAAAACCAAGGCCTTGGACAAGCAGGGCGTTTCTCCTGCAAACTCAGGGGGGTTATGAATCCAAAGGAGGAGACCCCCTTTTACAAGGGGCAGGGAATGGTCTTAAGGCACAGAAGGGGAGAGGAATCGATCCCACCCGTACCTGAGCAGAGCCCAGGTGGGGGATGGCCAGGGAAAGACCAACCTCAGTGGCACCACCTTTTCCCCAACCGCGCTGGGGACCCCCTTCCCCAGGGTTCACACGGTTCTTTACGACGCAAGAGCTGACAATTTGGAGAAAAGGTAAACGGCCCTTCCAGGCTGCTGCTTGCCAGGCAAACTTCATTCCCTTGCTCGCCAGGCAAGGCTGACGAGACAGAAGCAGAGGAATATTTTGTGGTCTGGCTCGAAGAAAAGGTAGGATGTTGACGTGAGCTCAGCAGGATGTTTAATTAGGGCTGTGCAAGCTTCGGAAGGATTTGGAAGAGGTGCTTCAGGACACGCAGGAGCACCCAAGTGCGTGTCGGAGGGTGGGTGTGAACAGGAACGAAGCCCCCCCCCTCCCCACAAGCCCAGAGCTACCAAGTGAACGCAGTGTGGTTGATTATTATACACACTGAACGCTAAGTATATTTACAGTATTTCAAGCGATAAGTGTTTATGTATGTGTAGAGGGACCAAGCGTATTAGTAAGTACGCATGCAAATAAAATCTAACTGTAAGTATATTAACAGAGCTTTTAACGAAATGGATTGAGGGTAGTTTCAGGGTAGTCCATCCTTCCAGATGCAGTGCCTCTTTAAAGCAGCCGTGTCTTTTTTCAGGTTCGCACATGACCCAGGGAAAAAGATACAGCTGCTTTAAAGCGTCATCTCCTTAAAGCAACCCCTGTGGCTGTTTCAGTGTGACTTCTTAAAGCAGCTGTACCTGCTTTCAGGCTTGCACAGGAGCCTGAGAAAAGATACTGCTGCTTTAAAGAGATGTAGCGCTTGGATTCCTGTAGGTTCTGAAGCACCTCTTTCAAATCATTTTGAAACATACACGGCCCTGGTCTTAATTACCTTCATAAAATCGGATCTTATCTCTCAGGATCACCATGCCTTTTGTAAGCAGCTGGTTCTGGAAAGAGAGCATAAAATAGTGTCAATTTTCATTACAGACTGTAGTTTAACTACGGAGGGTTATTTCTTTTAATTCATTAGAAAAAGGAGAGTTTGCAGCTTCCAGTTAATTATTTGGCCATGTACACAGTATTATACTTCCCATCTTACCATTTCATGGCAGCAGAATGATGAAACCTTCAAAGGGTCATGCGCAGAACACTAGAATTATACAGCTTAACTCTTGGTGTTTGCGTGCAGGTGGGGCCAAGGAAAGGCCGCACATTTAGGATGACCTTAAATCTTGTTATTGGTCCTTCAGTTATTTTGAATTCTAGGCAGATCTGACAGCTTGCAATTCTTGCTGAAAATATGGACTGCGTTCCTTAGTCCAACTATCAAGATATGCTAGAGGACCCATTCTGAGGATGCCCCCACGGTCAGATGCCCGTTTAGCTGGTATTTGGGAGAGAGTCTACCTCCTGTTCTAGCCCCATGCTTGGCAATGCATTTCCTCAGGGGTTGCGTTTGGCCCCACTCTCTCAGCTTTTAGAAAATCAGTAAGGGTGAATCTCAGCAATACTTATTGCATTCATTTTATAATTTAAGTCTTCTATAGATTTAAACAGAAGATTTTGTTAACTCCTTTTAGTTCTCATTTGAGCAGGAGGGCAGAGTAGAGATCCATTACAGCTAGTCCTAGCTTAACGACCACAACAGGGACCAGAAAATTGGTCGCTAAGCGGGGAGGTCATCAAGTGTGAATGGGCCCGATTTTATGACCATTTTTACAACGGTCGTTAAGGGAATCACATGGTTGTTAAGCAAATCCGGCTTCCCCAATGGACATTTTTTGCCAGAATTCGCTTAACGACCACATGATTTGCTTAACGACCATGGTGATTTGTTTAACTGTTGTAAAAATGGTCGCAAATCGTGATCACGTGACTGCGGGGGTGGAGTGCAACAGTTTGCGACGGTCGTAAGTGCGAGTACATGTCATAAAGCACTTTTTCCAAGGCCATTGTAACTTTGAACTGTCATTAAACAAATGGTCGTTAAGCGAGGACTAACTGTACACAAGCAAATAATTTGGAGGTTGCTTTAGCATCAAAGGTCAAGATTGTGACTACGACTGGGCAATCAAAGCCTCACTGTCTTTTATGTGTGTTTTGATGCACATGAAAAGGGGCGGGGCTTTGATCCCACAGTTACAGCTGCCATCTTGATTTCTTCTTTTTTCTTTTACTCCCCTGCAGACACCTGCTTGGACCTGATATCTTACGCAGACCGCTTATACTGAATACATTACAATATTTTGGAAAACGAGCATTTTTGTTTTTAAAAATTTTTTCTTGAAAATGTATATATTCTTTTCAAATACAATATACAAGGTTTATGTCCTAAACTGTACACGACAATTGTTTGTCCCTACACAGGCCTGCTTTGCAAGTATTTTGCAAATTACTATGACACAAAATCACATTTTTACTGGACTAAGACTGGAATCTTTGCTGCCTGAAGGGACGACGATGTGCAACTAGGGTGGGATCCAGACACACAGCAAGCACTCTGCCTTGGACCAAGTTTATAACGATCTTTCTGAACGTAGTTCTTTGAGCCCGAAGCGGATGAGGCACAGTGCAAATAATTAAACAGAAAATTTTGGTACTTAAATTTCTTAGGAGGGCAACATCAGCTGTCAATAATTCATTCAGTAACCTGCTAACAGTAAAACTTTCCTTAAAACAGTAAAAGAGAAATCACAATAAGACAGAAGACTATACAAACCTGTAAATATTCAGTAAAAAAAGATCCCAACTCCGTTTTCAGAAGCTGCCTGTTCCAAAAAATAACAGTAATAATAAATGGAAAAGATTATCATACTTTATGATACGTTTGCTGAACTTTATGTTATTCGTTGTTGTGATATTACAAATGCACAGGTTATCAGAAGGCATGACAGAGAAGACGATGCTTTAGTGAGATTCTCTGGCTCGAGTCTCCGTGCACACAGCCACGTGCCTTTCTTGGTCGCAGTTCAGAGGAGATTGCCACTGCATTCCCCCCCTCCCCAGTCTAGCCCAAAGCCTCCAGATTTCCCAGTGGTCTCCCATCCAAGTAGCAATCAAACCTAATTCTGCTAAGAGGTGCCGAGTGACACTCTTGTTTCTCAGATAAAATCTCCTTTAAGTTGAGCTCCCATTCCGATGATTGCACAGAGATGTCCATACGACAACCACACGGACATGCTCTGCCCTGCCTTCTTCTGACGTGCTTAACTAACTAGTTTGTCCTTTCTTACCCACTGCTAGCTAATGTTGGTTGTGTGGTTCTGGACACCATCTCTATTCCACATGCATGCCCCCCCCCCACGGTTGGCCCTTCTGCAGGGACCGGGCTCTGACCTCCCTCCGCATGTCGCTGTTTTTATTCTGCTGGGTCTTCTGCGGTCCGTATTTCCAATGTACTGTTTGAAAAACTCCCCACGATATTTGAGATAAGGACTCATTTGTACCGCTCGGCGGAACAGATTCTCTTCCAAGGTGGCTGCGTCATGGATTTTTCCCACCCCTTTCCTCAGTAGCCCCGGCACAGAATTTGCTTGTTTTCGGTCCTGAGAAAGCAGGGTGCAGGTTTTACGAATGAAGTGACAATGAGCCCTTACTTTCGTTAAGCGAGCAACTACGATCCAAAGATGCTTGCCTGGCTTAGTCCCTGCCAGCTCAGATCCTGACAAGACCTAAGTAAAATTCAGGAGGGGGCGCAGAGGGAAGGAAAAGCGAAGCCTCAAAGCAAATGCTTTCAAGTGCAGCCCTGAATACGCCTCCGATTTTAATTTGGAGAGAAAGGAGGACTCAGGCGCAGTTTTATCGCCTGGTTTAGGTTAGGGTTTCCCTGTTCCTTGTATCCAAATGGGAAGGAGGAATCAGGGGATCAGGAAAGACAGCGGTTAAGGCGTTTGAATTTGGCATCCGAATTTCTCGGCTTTTTAGAGTCTGAGCCAGGATGAGAAATGCGGCCTCAAACCAGCTGGGGGAAATGGGCGGTGTCACTGACTTCCCTGGTTTTAGAAAAGGAAATGCATCCTTCTGGCAGTAAAAATTCCACCCAGTTCAGAAAGCTGAAGATTCTGCTTTCTTGCAAATTTGTCGATGTTCAATGTGGGGTTCTGATTGCTTAATGATAATCATGATTTTGTCTCCGTAACTCAATGACTTTTTAAGGGTACATTTAAGAACAGCGAATACGCTCAGACATCAAAGCTGCAATTAGAACAATCTTTTTTTTAAAAAAAAAGAAGAAGTAGGGGAATATTTTTATTAGAAATAAGCAAAATCACTCACTAGAAAGTGTGTCACAGTTCTTCTACGGCCCTGTGGCCTTCATCTGAGGAAGAGGAACAGGGCCAAAACAAAAGACAAAATGACTCCATTTTACGCAAGCCCCAAAGCTTCAGATACTGCACTGTGGATTCCCGGACAGAGATGTGGCCGCCAAACCCACTCGAGCGTAGCCGCTGAGATCCAGAGACCAAAGCTGGCGGTGTGTGTGTGTGTGTGTGTGTGTGTGTGTGTGTGTGTGCAGGAATCCTACGTGGCTTGGAAGACTCTCATGGTAGGAGTGATCTACTCAGGGTGAGGCTATTGCTGTCTACCTAGCCATGATTGACACTCACTACCCTTGAGTGCAGGCCAGCACTTTCCAAGGATGGTGCTTCTCCTCGACAGCTGCAAACGCTTGTAACGATGCAACTTGCCTTGACCAAGGGAGCACCTCTTACCTTCTGTGTCTTGCCTTCAACTCTTGCCTGACCAAGAAACCTGCTTTCTTATTCACCTCGGCCTCTAGACCTTGACTGCTGGGGTCAGACACTGAGTGCCTTGAATCCTGAACTGCAACATTGCCTAGCAAGCCTACCCAGACTGCTTTTTCTACTACTGACCTCCACTGCTGCTCTTCTGGGAACCCTTCAAAGAACAGGACTGTGAGTCAGGGCCATGTGGAAGAGCGTCTTGAACTTTCTTGAAAGTGCCCCCCCTCCAAATTCCATTCTGATCGGCTAAGCGCTTTGAAGCAAAACAGAACTTGCATTTCAAACGAGAAAAAGTGGGTGGGAAGCAGCTCCAGAAACTGGTTCAGGCTTGCACACGGGACTTTCTAAGCCTCTTGCACAGGCTTAGAGTTGATCAGAGTTGCCCGTTCGGTTTCCTGTTCATTTTCCTAGAGGCACAGAGTTTTACTCTTCAGGAAGGCTCTGTGGATCGGGGGCTGGACTCACAACCCGCTTCGACGTCCTTCCATCCTAACCCACTGCCTCCCATCCAACTCCATCCAACGTTTAATATTTTTAAAGCAAAGCTCTATCCGATGTATAAAATAATTTTAAAACCAAACCAAACCAAAATGCAAATCTGAACTGGCTCTTGCATGCACTTTGTTTATAGCTTTTCACAGGGCGTGAATTTTTCTACCGTGCACTGGCGCTTGCTGTTTTTTTAATCTAAACACCCCTCACGTAACTTTTTTCCTCTGCAATGTTCCACGGACCCCATCATTTTTCTGCCACTTCCCCAAACCTGTACCGATTCTGTCGTGTCTAGAGGAGTTAGCATGGACTTTCCTTGCCAAGAATACCAGATGTCACCGTTCTCAGCTGATTTCCGTCTTCCCTGCTGCAAGGTAGCCCAGCCTTTCAAACAAAAAGCCCCCCCCCCTTTTTTACACTCCTATTTCTGATGCAAGCTGACAAACATCACAACCCCAGTTCCTCTTTCCTTTCCCCAGTCTTTAGTCTCGCATGCATGTGTTAATACGCCCTATTTGTTACCTCTCCTGCGATGCACCCACCTCCTGTTTTGCATTCCCCCCCACCCCGTAAAAAAAAAAGGCTTTATCAAGCCAACAGTGCTGCAGAAACTCAAGAGGGACCTCAAGCATTTCTCCCACCTCG